TAAATAGTGTTTGATGGGAGTAAGCCAGGACCCAGCACAATGCTGCAAGCTGTCGTTCTCCGGCATTATCAGGGTCAGGACATAAAACTCTCAGACATTCTACCAGGTTTTTAGGATTTTGCACTTGCTCAGGGGTGAAGTTCAAAACCATTGCAGGAGACACCCATGACAAGAATCTGCCAACATCGTCCCACACACCTTGCCACTCGCCACAAGACTGTTTCAAGACAGATTCCCAGGTCAGCTTTCTAAACAATTGACTAATCTTAGAGAGAAGAGGAAACCCGTTATTCAGAATTAGAAATAGCAATACATGGGTTACACATGGCTGTTCCAAATACTCCCAAACTGTGGTAATTAGCCCACTGTGAAAGAAGGAAAAGGTACTGTTAGAAATGGCTCAATCTTCAAAATAGGATTAAATAAAAAATAGGATTTATTAAAAGAATAGAGGTAAGCAAACAGCGCTGGGTGCACCGGGAGTCTCTGTTCCACCAGGACGCACACCAGTTACATCAAGTGGCTGATTTTTATGCTCCTAGACTAATACATATTCATTACTACTTCTAAAAAAAAACAGGTTATTATAATTAGCTTCCGGGGTCCAGTCCCTCCTACTGGAGCATGCGCATCAGTCTCCGGTGGTCCCTCTGGGGGTCTCTAGGGGTCTTTCATGCTGAAGGCTCGCAGTCTTCCTCTCCAAGTTTTTTTCTCGTCCTTCCCCGTTGTACTCCCTTGGAACCGTATCAAGTTTATAGAACATCCCCTGCAGGTCTTGTCTCCCAGCCATCCTTCAGCTTCTTTTTTCTTCTTCTTAATCTCTTGGCCACCTGGCCAGATATCAGAGGACTGCAGAGTATCCCATAACAGTCACTAGTTGTTATCAGTTGTTCTGAAACCCCCAGACATCAAAGACTTCATACAAACACAAATAGCTTTCTTATTGACACTTCACGAGTAATTAAAACATTCCTCACCAGCCATTCACAGGGACAGTCACACCTATAGCAGTGTTAAGTTAATCTCAAAGCATACAAAAAAAAGGCTGTAACTGTTAGAAATAGAAGTCCAGAATAACAAAAGCAAACAGGTTCATAAATTGGAGGAGTATTTTCTGAAGACTTGATAAATTGACTAGAATGAGGGGGAGACTGGGACACACTGCATCTGTGGTTCAAGAACTAAATTGCCAGTGCAGGGCCCAGAGGCAGACAGGATTCAAACAGAATTGTTCTTTATGGACACGAATTGTTAACACATTCCTCACAGTACCATTCCTGATATTATTAGTAAACTGGTATCCAGATGAGGAAAGGAAGGCAGTGTAGTTCTGAATATTCTCTAAAAGATAGTTTCCATGAGACCCACATGATAACAGCGCAGGGCCTGAATGCCAGATTAAACTCAAGGCCAGTGCTTGGCAGCAAAGCGAATTAAAAAAAAGTGAACACAGATTGTAGCACTTTGTCGGATTGGATATATAGGAGAAAGGAGACTATGACACGGATTGCATGACATATGATCAAACAAGCCATTATTAACAGGACACTGAACATGGTGACTAGCAAGTAAGTGTGTTAGTTGTACGTGCTTTGGTCAATTCTATTTTTATCTCAACCCTTTGAGCCCCATGTTGGGTGACAAAAAGGACTGTGGTGGTTTTACCGTGCTGGGTAGCTAAACACCACAACCGCTCTCTCACTTCCCCTCCTTAGATCAGGAGGGAAAGAAGTAAAGCAAAGAACAACTCACGGGTTGAGATAAGGATAACTTAATTAAAGGGAAATAATAATAATAATTAAAGAAAGATTATTAGGAACTAAACAATTTAACTAAAGGAGAAAAAAAAAAAGGAAAGGGGAAAAGGGAAGGGGAAAGAAAAAAAAAAAAAAAGGAGGAAACTAAACAAATAAAACAAATGAAGGCTATGTGGAAGTGCAGAGGAAAGAAATTACTCTCTACTTCCCACAAATGAGAGATGCTTGACCACGTCCTTGAAGCAGGGCCTCAACGCACGGAGCCGGTGTTCGGGAGGAGGACCGACGTTTTCCCGAGAGCCCACCACTCCCCTCTTCTTCCTGTTCCCACCTTTTATTGCTGAGTGTGACACCACATGGTATGGAATGTCCCTTTTTTTGGTTTAGGTCAGCTGCCCTGGGGATGTTTCTTTCTCACTTTTTGACCACCCGTAGGAGGGTTAGAGAGAGACCCGATGCTGTGCCAGCACTGCTCAGCAGCAGACACAACCCTGCTGTGATCCCACTGCTGTTCCAGCTCCAAGTGCAGAGCACAGCACTGCTTGGGCTGCTGCAGGGAAAGTTAACATCCCAGCCAGACCACATCCTTGCCACACTCCCTGCCACTCATAACCATCCTGCCTCGGGACAGGGGTCTGGGTGGCATTCCTAAGTAGTTGTTTAACCTTAAACAAAACCTGAAGTGCATTCAGGAGACATTACAATAAGAACATGCTGGTCTGAACATCCCAAGGACATTCAAATTTTGAGGAGCTACTGTAAGTAGCCTGGGGGAGAAAGGGCAGGTGAAGGAGAAAGGGGGAGTGAACAGGTGGGGAAAACATCTTCCCTTGTCCCCTTCACAGACTGTCTCCCTGAAAAGAAAAGGTAAATGACGTAATTAGTACTAGTTTCTGAGATATGGTTTCCAAAGTACGGAAGTGATGGCAATGTTGAGTACAAATACCAGATTACAGAATCCCATAACCATCTAGGTTGGAAGATCACCCAGCCCAACCTCTGACCTAACACTAACCAGTCCTCCACTAACCCATATCACTGAGCTCTACATCTAAATGTCTTTTAAAGACCTCCAGGGATGGGGACTGAACGCTGGGCAGCCCATCCCAATGCCTCACAACCCTCTCAGTAAAGAAGTTCTTCCTAATATCCAACTCAAAGCTCCCCTGGCACAACTTAAGCCCATTCCCCCTCGTCCTGTCACCAGGCACATGGGAGAACAGGCCAACCCCCACCTCACTACAGCCTCCTTTAAGGCACCTGTAGTCTCATCCTTTAAGGTACCTATCAGTCCCATGACCAGTAATTCTATCATATCATAAGCCAGTGTTACACAGTAAGCAGCAAACTAACCTTAAACCAGCCCCCCAGAACAATAAACAGCACAACAGGGAACACATACAGTAAGTAATGTGTTATATAACGGAATTCAGAAAACAGGCACAGCAGACCTCAGATCAAAACAAAACAAAAACAAACAAACAAACAAACAAAACAGCACTATTAAGCTGAAATAATGGTTTCAATAATTTTGTTTTAACATGCTCTCATCACATCTGTCACTATCTCAGCTCTTTGGGCCCCACGTTGGGTGTCAAAAGAACTTTTGTGGTTTAACCAGCACCACACAGACGCTCTTCCTCCCCACAGTGGGATGGGGGAGAGAATCGAGAAAAACAAAAAAAAAAAGAAAAAAAAAAAGTAAAAGCTTGTGAGTTGAGATAAAGACAGTTTAATAGGATAGAAAAGAAAAAATAATAAGAATAATCAAAATGGTAGTAAGAATAATAACACGTACAAAGCAAGCGATGCACAATGCAATTGCTCACCACCTGCTGACGGATGCCCAGCTTATCCCTGAGCAGCCTGCGCCCCCACCCCAGCTAGCCACCCCTATATATTGTCCAGCATGACCCCATATGGTGTGGAATACCCCTTTGGCCAGTTGGGGTCCTGGTCCAGGGGACCAGGTCCAGGTCCAGGGGACCCCTTTGGTCCAGGGGACAGGTCCTGGGCCTGTCCCCTCCCAGCTCCTGCTGCACCCCCAGCCTGCCCGCTGGCAGGACAGAGCGGGAAGCTGAGACGTCCTTGGCTTACTGTGAGCACTGCTCTGCAACAATTAAAACATCAGTGTGATATCAAGAGTAGTCTTATCCTAAATCCCAAACACAGCACCATATCAGCTATGGTCTGCAGCCAAGGGAAGCACCTTCCCCGTGTGAGCTGGGGGCTCATGCACTCACCCCTCATCCACAGACCCCCTGGGGGCACCAGCACAGACCCCCTGTATGCCTGGTGCCCTAGCCCAGCCCAAAACCCCTGCTGCTGGCTGGTTGGTGCAGCCCAAAGTTTGCTGGTGAATGCAGCCGCACACCCCCCGCACACCAGGCTGGGGAAGGCACAGCCAGCTGCCCCCAGCAGCCTTCAAGCAGCCCTCGGAGGTGCTGATGGCAGCACGGGGAGCATACGCAGCAGGAGAGGGCTTACACAAGGCAACCTGGAGAGCAAATAAATCAGCATTGCAACCGGGGGCTGCTAAACAAAGGCACCATGAGCACAAATTCTAAACCAGTTTGTCCCATCGAGCATTGTCTGCTCAGGTCTGCTGATCTCTCACAGTATCTCAGGTACCTTCCGGCCTCACACTAGGTGCTAAAAGCAGTGCTGTGGCGGAATGCAGCAGAGAGCTCAGCACCTCACAGCCACCTCCTCAGCCACCTCCCCACCGGGGGAAGGGGAGAGAGCTGACAAGAGGAAAAGTGCACAGACTGGCAGGCTGAGAGAAAGACAGTTTAATGAGAAAGAAAGACAGAAAATGAGCAAGAAAGAAAACTGAAGAAAGTGGTGCACAAAACGATTGCTCACCACCCTCTGACCCATGCCCAGCCTGTCCCTGAGCAACGGCAGCCCCTCAGCCAACCCCACCACAGTGTGAGCAGCGCAGAAGTCCTTGGCTCTGTGTCAGCACTGCTCAGCAGCATCTAAGCCAGCAGTGTGTTATCAGCACCATTCTCATCCTAAAACCAAAGCCCCACACCAGCTACGGTGATGAAAAGCAACTCGATCCCAGACAAAACCAGGACAAGCCAGTGTCTGCTCCTGCAGGAGCCCCTCTGCACTGAGGGCTGCAGAGCCTGCGCCTCACCTCTCAGCACCCAAGGGACTGGGACCCACACACGCATGCCCTAGAGCATGGGAAACTGATACAAGGTGATTTCCTGTTGGTTTCCCGGCAGCCTTTTGCAACAGCCCAGCAGGAAGTGGGTGGTCATGGGGGGCTGGAACACAAACTGTCTGGGGCTCCACGCACCCTGCAGCAGCGCCGAGCCGTGGGTCCTGCATGCAACAGAGCAGAGGTAACATCTCACTGCAGCACCAGGGCTCCTCCTGGCACAAATGCTGCGGCCTCAGAGGATGTGGGGGCTGCACGGGGGAACCCAGGTGTCTGCGGTGTTTGATGCAAGTAGTTGGGCTGGAGTCCGGGCCAGTATCGGGGTGGGGAAGACCCAGGTGGCCGTGGCTGGGGACACACACTGCGGGTGCTTCCCTCTGGTGCCAGGGGGGCCATGGGCGGCTTTGGAGGTGCCCCTGATGCATCTGCTCCGCTTCTCCCTGCAGCCTTCTCCGACCCTGCGCTCTCCCCCTAGCAGACGCCCGTGCCCTGTACTGCTGCACTCAGCGGCTGAGCTCAGCCGGTTGCAGAGGACCGGGTCCTGCGCTGCCTGGGGCATCCCCGCTCGTGGCTGGACCCCCGGAGCTTCCTGCACATGGAGTACCTCGGCCTGGGCTGGGTGCTGCTGGCCAGCACCCTGTTTGGCACTGCAGCCACTTGCAGCAGGCGACTTGTCCGTGCTATCACAGAGAAGGCGATGGACATGGCCCGGTACTCCTTTGATGACCAGTACCAGGGCTGCAGCCCCATGATGGAGGAGAAGCTGAAAACAGTGAACCGCACTGAGTTCCAAAACAAGGTGTATGCAGACACCTGGAGAAAAGCAGCCGAGCACTGGCAGAATCAGTGGGGCAACTCCAACCGCCCGCAGGTGCTGCCGCAGGAGCAGGCGGTGGCCGTGCTGGCGTACACTGACAAGGAAGACCTGTCCAAGCAGCTCAACAAAGCTATGCTTGAGGGTGGGCGCTCCCGTGAGCACTACCTCCAGTCCTTCCCCTTCAAGACGCTGCATTTCCTCCTGACTGAGGCTGTGCACACCCTGCAGAAGACCCAGAGCCCCAAATGCAACAGCGTCTACCGCGGTGTCAATGCCACCCACTTTAAGGCCCACCGCCACCAGACCGTCCGCTTCGGCCACTTCGCCTCTGCCTCCTTCAATAAGAATATTGCTGCCCAGAAATTTGGCCAGGACACCTTATTCTTTGTGAACACCTGCTACGGTGTCCCCATCTGGAGCTTCTCCTTCCACCCAGAACAGGAGGAAGTCCTCATCCCACCCTATGAGGTCTTCAATGTCACCAACTTCACCCGTGGCAGAGACGGAAACTTCATCCATCTCCGCTCCCATGGTGTGCGCAGCAACTACAACTGTGCACTGCTGAAGGGTAAGGGCAGGCAGCAGGGTGGATGCCCCCGGGAGATGGTTGGGGACAGGGCACAGCCCTGGGCAGGCGCCGCCGTGCTCCCCGCGCTCCTCCAGCCATGGCTGCAGAGGAAAGGGGGCCCCGTGCCACCGGCTCTGTGAGGGGAAGAGGAGCCTCGTGGTGAAGGCAACACCTCCGTGTGGGGAGCTCGGGGAGCCTGGGGAGCTTGGGGAACCTGGGGAGTTTGGGGAGGTGGGGAGCTCGCCTTCAGACCAGGTCTTCCCTGTGCATCCCTGCACGCTCCCAGCTGCTCTCCCTTGGGGTTTGCAGTGGGGGCCCTCTGTGGCACGGCCAGGGCGGGGCGAGGGGCACAGAGCGGGGTGGTGCACAGATTTTGTTGGTCTCTTTGGCAGAGAAAAGGTGCAAGGCCCAGCCGTGTGTTTTCAGTGCAGTTAAGAGGCGAGCCCCCAGCCCCTTCCCACGGCCAGCACCGTGCTGGCACCCTCCGGCAGTCATTAACTCCCTGTTCCCCCCCCCAGGCACGAGCAGTCCCAGGGAACCCCCACACCTCTGGAGTCTCCTCTTGGCAGCCGCAGCCCTGGCAGCCGTGGGACGCCTCTAACCCAGCTATGCTGCTGCTGCACCTCCGCAAGGAAAACGGGGCAGAAACGTGAGAACACATTTAAGGACACTGTGGGATTACGCTTTCCTCTGCCAGACACTCTCTGCTCCAGCAGGAGCGGTGCCACCGGCCCCAGGATGCTCCGGTGGCCCTAGAACACCAGCAGAGGCTGGAGGAAGCCTTTTCCTGGCTTTTGCAGAGAAATAAAAGCACTGCTGGAGGATGGAGGCATCGAGGAGGGTTCCTGCGGCTCCCCGCAGCGGGGGCACTTTGCATGGGCGGCAGCCGGGGGTCTTCTCCAGCTCCCTCCCGGAGCACCCCGGAGAGCGCTGCCCCGGCTCCTGCGAGGAGGCACGGAGAGCACTGGGGGCTCCTCCTCTCCACAGCGGCTCAGGAGCAGGGATTTGGCTGGCACCTCAGCCCCCAGTGCCCAGATTCGGGCTCTGCAGGCGGGACGGACGGGGGCTGCCCCACGGAGCAGCGCAGGGCACTCAGCCAGCTCTGGCGGCACCGTGGGCACCTCGCCTTCCTCCTCACCCCGCGGGTGTCCCCTGCCCCCCCAGCACACAGGTGACACCAGGCAGCCTCAATGCGCTTTAATGAATCCCTGCTGCCCCACAACCTGCTGCGGGCAGGTGCCGGGGGGCCAGGGGCACCAGGAGCCCCGCAGCGGGGCTGTGTCCGTCAGAGCAGGGCCGATGCCCTAGGGCTGGGCAAAGAGCCCCCACAGCAGCCTCCCGACCTGGGGGTGGGCAGGGTGAGAGCCCCCCGCTCCGCAGCCAGCCAGGGTCTCTTAATCCTCACCCACAAGCTCTCCTCCTGTCCTTCACCCTCCCCCAGCTGGAGCTGGGTGCACTCTAATTGCTCCCTCACATAAAGGGCAACTCTTCCCCCTCGCTTCCCCAGCCTGTCTTTCCTAAAGAGTTCGTAGACCTCCATGACTGCGTTCCAGCCGTGCGAGCTGTCCCACCACGTCTCAGTGATCACACCAAGATTGTGGCCCCCAACCCAACACAGATCTCGAGCTCCTCCTGTTTATTTCCCATGCTCCGTGCACTGGTGTACAGGCTCTTTAGGGAAGCTGCAGGTGCAGTTATCCCCGGGGGGATGCAAGAAGAAGATTCTGGACGGGGGATCGGGATCATTCCTTTCTCTGAGGAGCCCTCAAACAATCCCATCCTCAAACAAACCACTCGGAGGATTTTCCCTACTATCTTCAACCTACTATCCCAGATTGCCTTCAGCTGGGGGGTGCAAAAGCTACAAAATCCCCCAAATACAGGCTCTCCCCTGACTTACAGGTGTTTGTAGTGACAATGGGGTTCGAGGGTGCCCCCCCCCGGTACCTTTCCCTTCCTCACAGCTGGCCCAGGGGATGCACCTTATGTTTGGGGGACCCCTTTTTATTGGGGGGGCCATGCTGCCTGTGCAGGCAGAGGGCACACAGGCATGTGGGGTGTGCTGGCAGAGGGGCCCTGTGTCCTTGGGGGGGGGCTGGAGGGGGTCCGGGACCCAGCATGTGCATGGGGATGTAAATTCCAGGGGGGTTGGGGCAGCAACCCTTTGGGATGGGTCCATGGGGGCGTGCAGGGATCTGTGCTCCACTGGCTAGGGCTGGTTGGGGTGATTGGGGTCAGTGTGTGGAAGGATCAGTCCCAAAGCTGTTTTTTAGACCCCAGGCAGGTCCTGGCAGGGGCTGCAGCTGGGGCTGGGGGGGACCCCAGGGCATCCCTTGGGCATGAAGGTGACGCCAGCCCGGGGAGGTGTTTGGGGTCGGGACCTATTTCTGTAGGGGAAGTGCCTGGCTGGGTCTTGTCCCAGTGGGTTCCCCACTTGGACCAGCCAGCATCGCCCTCCAAAGCGTGCCATGGGATGCCAGGAGCTTGGCGATGTGGGCTCGTGGGTTTTCCTGGTGTTAAAAGCCGTCATTTTAGAACAGTGTCATGCCACGCTTCGCTGGCGGGGAATTAAAGGAGATCCCAGTTCCTGAGGGCTTGCGTCTGCTTCTTCTCTGAGCGTGGTGCTCCTGGTGAGGGACAGCCTTCCCCTCAATGGCTCTGCAGTGGCCAAAATTGCTTTGTGATGGGCTTTGGGGGTGATTTGGCACCACAGCCTGATCCCACACCCAAGATGCTTTCTCCCCGGCCAGCCAGCACTGCTCCAACCTCGGGTGTATGCTGCGAGCCTGGACGGAGGCACCTGGCTTTGCACCACTTACCCATGTGAGATATGTTCATCTGATTCGTGTCAGTATGGAACAATGCCAGGGCCTCACGGTATAATGCCCTGGTCAGGCCTCACCTGGAGCACTGGGTCCAGTTCTGGGCTCCCCGGTACAAGAAAGACAGGGATCTCCTGGAAAGAGTCCAGCGGAGGGCCACAAGGATGAGACGGGGCCTGGAGCATCTTCCCTGTGAGGAGAGGCTGAGAGACCTGGGGCTGTGCAGCCTGGAGAAGAGAGGACTGAGAGGGGATCTCCTCAGTGTGTAAAAATACCTGAGGGGTGGGAGGCAGAGGGATTTGGCCAACCTCTTTCAGTGGTCTGTGGGGACAGGACAAGGGGCAGTGGCCACAAAATGGAGCCCAGGCAGTTACGCACCAACACGCGAAAGAACTTCTTCATGGTGAGGGTGACGGAGCACTGGGACAGGCTGCCCGGGGAGGCTTTGGGGTCTCCTTCTCTGGGGATGCTCAAGGCCGGTCCCTGTCTGGACGCCTACCCGGGCAGCCTGCTCTAGGTAACTGTTTGGCAGGGGGTTGGACCCGATGATCTCCTGAGGTCACCTCCAACCCCTCCATTTCCGTGATTCTGGGATTCTGGATCACAGCAGGGTTGTGTCTGCTGCTGAGCAGTGCTGGCACAGCATCGGGCCTCTCTCTAACCCTCCTAGGGGGCGGGAAAAAGTGAAAAAGGAACATTACCACGCAGCTGACCTAAACCAACCAAAGGGATATTCCATACCATGTGGTGTCACACTCAGCAATAAAAGGTGGGAACAGGAAGAAGAGGGGAGGGGTGGGCTCTCGTTGGGAAAACATCGGTCCTCCTCCCGAACACCGGCTCCGTGCGTTGAGGCCCTGCTTCATGGACGTGGTCAAGCACCGCTCATTTGTGGGAAGTAGAGAGTAATTTCTGTCCTCTGTACTTCCACACAGCCTCTACTTGTTTTGCTTTCTTGAGTTGTTTTGTGTTCCCCCCGCCACCCTTTTCCCAACCCTTTTCCCCTTTTTTTCCCTTTACTTAAAGTGTTTTAGTAATAATAATAATCATTCCTTAATAATCATTTTTCCTTTTAATTAAATTATCTCTATCTCAACCTGCAAGTTGTTCTTTCCTTTACTTCTTTCCCTCCTCTTCTAAGAAGGGGGAGTGAGAGAGTGGTTGTGGTGGAGTTCAGCTGCCCAGCACGGCAATACCAGCACACAGCCCCTGCTCGCTGCCATGTCCCCAGCACTGTGGAGGCCCCCCTGGGTGAGGGCTCACCCCCTGCATGGAGCTGGGCCACTTCTGGGCTCGGAGCTGCTCCCTCTGCTCCTAAGCAGCTTGGGAAGATGAGGACAGGGAGCTGCCTGGGGCCAGGTCAACCCAGACACCACTGGGCCACTTCTACACAAAGCCAGGGCCACCTCTCCTCCCTTTGGGGCTGCCACTGCCCCCGGCCCCTCCGGGCACTGTCGCCACCAGTCCCGCAGCCGGCCCTAGGCCCGGCGCCGGCGGCAGCGCCGTGTTGTGGGCTGATCCCCGCAGGGCTGTTCTCTCGGGCACGCTGCGCTTGGCTCTGCCGTTCCCTCAAGCCTTCGGGCCTCGCACTGGGCACCAGAAGGCCTGCTGTGCTTGAAGCTACAGGCAGCTCAGCACCGCACAGCCGCTCGCTCCCCTCCTCCCCAGCAGGGCTGGGGAGAGAAGGGACACTTGGATCTGGCTGCAGGAGCTGGCACTGAGCTCACTCGCACACACAGAGGCCTCGCCAGGAGCTGGCACGTAGGCCTCTCAGCACGCGGACACATGGGAAAGGCTGCGAGTGTGCAAAGAGAAAAGCTTTAATGTGAGAAATGCGACGATAGGACACACAAACACTGACCGGCCCTTTTATACCCCAAACCTAACCCCTCAGCAGGCCCTCCTGCTCCTCCTTCTCTACACACCCCCATGGCTCCGCACAGCAGCTCCACGTTATTTCAAGCTCCCCAGGCTCCCCAAGGTCTTCAAGCTCCCCAAGCTCCCCAGGCTCCCCGAGCTCCCCACATGGAGGTGTTGCCTTCACCACGAGGCTCCCCTTCCCCTCACAGAGCCGGTGGCACGGGGCCCCCGTTCCTCTGCAGCCATGGCTGGAGGAGCGCGGGGAGCACGGCGGCGCCTGCCCAGGGCTGTGCCCTGTCCCCAGCCATCTCCCGGGGGCACCCACCCTGCTGCCTGCCCGTACTATTCACCAGTGCACAGTTGTAGTTGCTGCGTGCACCAATGGAGCGGAGATGGATGTGGGTTTCGTTTGTGTAACGGGTGACGTTGATGACCTTGAAGATCTCATAGGGTGGGATGAGGACTTCGCGCTGATCAGCGTAAAAGGACAAGTTGCCGATCATGGCACCATGGCAGGTGTACACAAAGAAGAAGGTGTCCTGGCCAAAGAGCTGGGCAAACCTCTTCTTGAAGGAGGCAGAGGCGAACTGGCCGAATCGGACAGTCTGGTTGACCTGGGCCGTAAAGCGGATGCCCTTGACACCACGGTAGACGTTGTAGCATCTGCGGACCTGGGCATCCCTCAGGGTGTGCAGGGCCTCGGTCAGGAGGAAATGCAGTGTCTTGAAGGGGAAGGATTGGAGGTAGTAATCGCGGGAGCGCCCACCCTCACGTATGGCTGCATTGAGCTGGCGGTACAGGCCTCTGCCAGCAGTGTACGCCAGCACGGCCACCGCGTACTCCCGCCACAGCACCTGCGGTGGGATGGAGTTGCGCCATTGCGTCCACCACCTCTCCTCTGCTTTTCTCCAGGTGTCTGCATAGACCGGGTTTTTGAATTCAGTGCGGTTCACCATTCTAAGCGCCTCTTCCATCCTGTATCTGCAGCCCTGGTACTGGTCATCGAAGGAGTTCTGGGCCATGTCCATCGCCACCTCCCTGACGGGACCGAGGAATTGCTCACGGGTGCTGCTGGCGGCCAAGGTGCCAGCCAAGGTGCCGGCCAGCAGCACCCAGCCCAGGCCGAGGTGCTCCATGTGCAGGAAGCTCCGGGGGTCCAGCCACGAGCGGGGATGCCCCAGGCAGCGCAGGACCCGGTCCTCTGCAACCGGCTGAGCTCAGCCGCTGAGTGCAGCAGTACAGGGCACGGGCGTCTGCTAGGGGGAGAGTGCAGGGTCGGAGAAGGCTGCAGGGAGAAGCGGAGCAGATGCATCAGGGGCACCTCCAAAGCCGCCCATGGCCCCCCTGGCACCAGAGGGAAGCACCCGCAGTGTGTGTCCCCAGCCAGGGCCACCTGGGTCTTCCCCACCCCGATACCGGCCCGGACTCCAGCCCAACTACTTGCATCAAACACCGCAGACTCCTGGGTTCCCCCGTGCAGCCCCCACATCCTCTGAGGCCGCAGCATTTGTGCCAGGAGGAGCCCTGGTGCTGCAGTGAGATGTTACCTCTGCTCTGTTGCATGCAGGACCCACGGCTCGGCGCTGCTGCAGGGTGCGTGGAGCTGGCTGCTCTGCCTTTTTATAGCAACCCCCAGACAGTTTGTGTTCCAGCCCCCCATGACCACCCAGTTGCTGCTGGGCTGCTGCAAAAGGCTGCAGGGAAACCAACAGGAAATCACCTTTTATCAGTTGCCCATCCTCTAGGGCATGCGTGTGTGTGTCCCAGGCCCTTGGGTGCTGAGAGGTGAGGCGCAGGCTCTGCAGCCCTCAGTGCAGAGGGGCTCCTGCAGGAGCAGACACTGGCTTGTCCTGGTTTTGGCTGGGATCGAGTTGCTTTTCATCACCGTAGCTGGTGTGGGGCTTTGGTTTTAGGATGAGAATGGTGCTGATAACACACTGCTGGCTTAGATGCTGCTGAGCAGTGCTGACACAGAGCCAAGGACTTCTGTGCTGCTCACACTGCCCTGGCAGCGGGCAGGCTGGGGGTACAGCAGGAGCTGGGAGGGGACAGGCCCAGGACAGCTGACCCCAACTGGCCAAAGGGATATTCCACACCATGTGGGGTCATGCAACAATATATAGGGGTAGCGCCCCTCCCACCCCCAATTCTCTCCCCCATCCCACTTGAGGAAAAAGCTGCTTGCCCGTTAAACCACAGCAGTCCTTCGATGTCCAGCACGGGGCCCAAAGGGTTGAGATAAGGACAGATCTGACCACAGCGTGTTAAAACAAAATTGTTGTTTAACAATTGTAATTTGTAAACCTTAGCTTCTCCCACGGCTTGCTTAGAATGCAGAGGAACTCCCACTCGGACTGGGGAGGAGGAAGAAGACGAGGCAGGCTGCTCCAGAGTGGCGGGGCCATCAGAGGAACAGGAAGATGAAGAGGAAGGTATCATAAGAGCATCAGGAACTACTCGATGCCTATTCCAGCATGAGCTATGAGATAGGCGAAAAGATTTCAGTCGTTGTCCAGGTGAGCACCTTGTCACCTGGCTGCTCTGGTGCTGGGACAGCGGAGCCATGGTCTGCAATTAGAAGGCAGGGAAGCCAGGCAGCTGGGATCCCTCGCCAGAGAAGGGGGCATTCTGGAGTTGTCTTGTGTCAGGTGTGAAGGAAAGGTGTGCCAAAGAAGATCCCAGAATCCCACAATCACGGAAATGGAGGGGTTGGAGGTGACCTCAGGAGATCATCGGGTCCAACCCCCTGCCAAAGCAGTTCCCTAGAGCGCGCTGCCCAGGTAGGCGTCCAGACAGGGACAGGCCTTGAATATCCCCAGAGAAGGAGACCCCACAGCCTCCCTGGGCAGCCTGTCCCAGAGCTCCGTCACCCTCACCGTGAAGAATCACAGGATTTCTAGGTTGGAAGAGACCTCAAGATCATCGAGTCCAACCTCTGAACTAGCACTAACCAGTCCTCCACTAAACCATATCCCTAAGCTCTACATCTAAACTTCTTTTAAAGACGTCCAGGGATGGTGACTCCACCACCTCCCTGGGCAGCCCATCCCAATGCCTCACAACCCTTTTAGTAAAGAAGTTCTTCCTAACATCCAACCCAAACCTCCCCTGGTACAACGTTAGCCCATTCCCCCTCGTCCTGTCACCAGGCATGTGGGAGAACAGGCCAACCCCCACCTCGCTACAGCCTCCTTTAAGGTATCTTCTTCCCTTACTAAACGAGCTGACCTCCGTTTCCATTGTTTTGACTTGACTATGGGGGTGACTGATACCATAGTTGGTTGGTCTTTTGGGTCAGCCACATCGTGTGTTACTTGGTCATCAGATTCAGAGACTTCCTCCCTCTCTTCAATTTGCTGGATGATGTTAAACAGTGTTTGATAGGAATAAGCCAGGACCCAGCACAATGCTGCAAGCTGTCGTTCTCCGGCATTATCAGGGTCAGGACATAAAACTCTCAAACATTCTACTAAGTTTTTAGGATTTTGCACTTGCTCAGGGGTGAAGTTCAAAACTATTGGAGGAGACACTCGTGACAGGTATCTGCTAACATCATCCCACACACCTAGCCACTCACCACAAGACTGTTTCGGGACAGATTCCCAAGTAAGTTTTCTAAACAATCGACTAATCTTAGAGAGAAAATGAAACTGGTTTTTCAGAATTAGAAATAGGAATACATGGGTTACAGATGGATCTTCAAAATACTCCCAAACGGTTGTAATTATCCCACTATGAAAGAAGGGAAAGGTACCATTCTTAATATTATTAATAAACTGGTGTCCAGATGAGAAAAGGAAGGCAGTGTAGTTCTGAATATTCTCTGAAAGATAGTTTCCATGGGACCCAAATGATAACAGTGCAGAGCCTGAATTCCAGATTAAAACCAAGGTCAGTGCTTGGCAGCACAGCTAATTAAAAAAAGTGAAAACAGATTGTAGCACTTTGTCGGATCAGATATATAGGAGAAAGGAGAATATGACACAGATTGCATGACATAGGAACAAAGCTATTATTATTAACAGGGCAATGTACATGGTTACTAGCAAGCAAGTGTGTTAGTTATATGCGTTTAATCAATTCTATTGTTATCTCAACCCTTCGAGCCCCACGTTGGGTGCCAAAAAGGACTGTGGTAGTTTTACCGTACTGGGCAGCTAAACCCCACAACTGCTCTCTCACTCCCCCTCCTTTAGATGAGGAGGGGGAGAAGTAAAGCAAAGAACAACTCATGGGTTGAGATAAGGATAATTTAATTAAAGGGAGATAATTATAATAATTAAATAAAGACTACCATGAACTAAACAATTTAACTAAGGGGAAATAAAAAGGGAAAGGGGAAAGGGAGGGGAAAAGGGAAAATAAAAGGAAGGGAGGAAAACAAACAAACAAAATAAATGAAGGCTATATGGAAGTGCAGAGGAAAGAAATTACTCTCTACTTCCCACAAATGAGCGATGATTGACCACGTCCTTGAAGCAAGACCTCAACGCATGCAGCTGGTGTTCAAGAGGAGGACCGACCTCTTCCAAACGAGAGCCCACCCCTCCCCTCTTCTTCCTGTTCCCACCTTTTATTGCTGAGTGTGTACAGAGCAAATAAATCAGCATTGCAACCGGGGGCTGCTAAACAAAGGCACCATGAGCACAAATTCTAAACCAGTTTGTCCCATCGAGCATTGTCTGCTCAGGTCTGCTGATCTCTCACAGTATCTCAGGTACCTTCCGGCCTCACACTAGGTGCTAAAAGCAGCGCTGTGGTGGAATGCAGCAGAGAGCTCAGCACCGCACAGCCACCTCCTCGGTCACCTCCCCACCGGGGGAAGGGGAGAGCTGACAAGAGGAAAAGTGCACAGACTGGCAGGCTGAGAGAAAGAGAGTTTAATGAGAAAGAAAGACAGAAAATAAGCAAGCAAGAAAACTGAAGAAAGGGATGCACAGAACAGTTGCTCACCACCCTCTGACCCATGCCCAGCCTGTCCCTGAGCAATGGCAGCCCCTCAGCCAACCCCACCACAGTGTGAGAAGCACAGAAGTCCTTGGCTCTGTGTCAGCACTGCTCAGCAGCATCTAAGCCAGCAGTGTGTTATCAGCACCATTCTCATCCTAAAACCAAAGCCCCACACCAGCTACGGTGATGAAAAGCAACTCGATCCCAGCCAAAACCAGGACAAGCCAGTGTCTGCTCCTGCGGGAGCCCCTCTGCACTGAGGGCTGCAGAGCCTGCGCCTCACCTCTCAGCACCCAAGGGCCTGGGACCCACACACGCATGCACTAGAGCATGGGAAACTGATACAAGGTGATTTCCTGTTGGTTTCCCTGCAGCCTTTTGCAACAGCCCAGCAGCAACTGGGTGGTCATGGGGGGCTGGCACACAAACTGTCTGGGGGTTGCTATAAAAAGGCAGAGCAGCCAGCTCCACGCACCCTGCAGCAGCGCCGAGCCGTGGGTCCTGCATGCAACAGAGCAGAGGTAACATCTCACTGCAGCACCAGGGCTCCTCCTGGCACAAATGCTGCGGCCTCAGAGGATGTCGGGGCTGCACGGGGGAACCCAGGTGTCTGCGGTGTTTGATGCAAGTAGTTGGGCTGGAGTCCGGGCCGGTATCGGGGTGGGGAAGACCCAGGTGGCCCTGGCTGGGGACACACACTGTGGGTGCTTCCCTCTGGTGCCAGGGGGGCCATGGGCGGCTTTGGAGGTGCCCCCGATGCATCTGCTCCGCTTCTCCCTGCAGCCTTCTCCGACCCTGCGCTCTCCCCCTAGCAGACACCCGTGCCCTGTACTGCTGCACTCAGCGGCTGAGCTCAGCCGGTTGCAGAGGACCGGGTCCTGCGCTGCCTGGGGCATCCCCGCTCGTGACTGGACCCCCGGAGCTTCCTGCACATGGAGCAGCTCGCCCTGGGCTGGGTGCTGCTGGCCGGCACCTTGGCTGGCACCTTGGCCGCCAGCAGCACCCGTGAACAAGAACCCGGCCGCATCAGGGAGGAGGCGATGGACATGGCCCAGAACTCCTTCGATGACCGGTACCAGGACTGCAGATGCGAGATGGAAGAGGAGCTTAAAATGGTGAACCGCACTGAATTCAAAAACCCGCTCTATGCAAACACCTGGAGAAAGGCAAATGAGAAGTTGCGGAACTCCAACCACCCGCAGGTGCTGCGGTGGGAGTACGCGGTGGCCGTGATGGCGTACACTTACCCTACACGTCTGTACCGCAAGTTCAACGAGGCCGTGTGTGAGGGTGGGCGCTCCCGCGATTACTACCTCCAATCTTTCCACTTCAAGACGCTGCATTTCCTCCTGACCGAGGCCCTGCACACTCTGCGGAATGCCCAGGGCCGCAGATGCTACAACGTCTACCGTGGTGTCAGGGACATCCGCTTTATGGCCCAGATCAACCAGACTGTCCGATTCGGCCGGTTTGCCTCTGCCTCCCTCAAGAAGAATGCTACCAAGAGATTTGGCCAGGACACCTTATTTTTTGTGTACACCTGCTACGGTGTCCCCATCTGGAACTTCTCCTTCTACCCTGAGGAGGAAGAAGTCCTCATCCCACCCTATGAGGTCTTCAAGGTCACCAAATTCACCCGTGACAGAGACAGAAACATCATCCGTCTCCGCTCCCATAGTGTGCACAGCAACTACAACTGTGCACTGGTGAATGGTAAGGGCAGGGAGCAGGGTGGGTACCATCAGGAGATGGGCACAGCCCTGGGCAGGCGCCGCCGTGCTCCCCACGCTCCTCCAGCCATGGCTGCAGAGGAACGGGGGCCCCGTGCCACCGGCTCTGTGAGGGGAAGGGGAGCCTCGTGGTGAAGGCAACACCTCCGTGTGGGGAGCTCGGGGAGCCTGGGGAGCTTGGGGAACTTGAAGAGCCTGGGGAGCCTGGGGAGCTTGAAATAACGTGGAGCTGCTGTGTGGAGGCATGGGGGTGTGTAGAGAAGGAGGAGCAGGAGGACCTGCTGAGGGGTTAGGTTTGGGGTATAAAAAAGCAGGGCCGGTCAGTGTTTGTGTGTCCTATCGTCGCATTTCTCTCATTAAAGCTTTTCTCTTTGCACACTCGCAGCCTTTCCCATGTGTCCGCGTGCTGAGAGGCCTACGTGCCAGCTCCTGGCGAGGCCTCTGTGTGTGCGAGTGAGCTCAGTGCCAGCTCCTGCAGCCAGATCCAAGTGTCCCTTCTCTCCCCAGCCCTGCTGGGGAGGAGGGGAGCGAGCGGCTGTGCGGTGCTGAGCTGCCTGTAGCTTCAAGCACAGCAGGCCTTCTGGTGCCCAGTGCGAGGCCCGAAGGCTTGAGGGAACGGCAGAGCCAAGCGCAGCGTGCCCGAGAGAACAGCCCTGCGGGGATCAGCCCACAACACGGCGCTGCCGCCGGCGCCGGGCCTAGGGCCGGCTGCGGGACTGGTGGCGACAGTGCCCGGAGGGGCCGGGGGCAGTGGCAGCCCCAAAGGGAGGAGAGGTGGCCCTGGCTTTGTGTTGAAGTGGCCCAACAGTGTCTGGGGTGACCTGGCCCCTGGCAGCTCCCCCCAGCCCCCTGCTCCATGTGGGCTCCTCTCCACGGGATGCAGCTCCGGCCCGGGGCCTGCTCCTGTGGGGGCTCTCCATGGGCCGCAGCCTCCTCCAGGCCACATCCACCTGCTCCAGCGGGGGCTCCTCCACCCATGGGGGGGCTGCAGCGTGGAGATCTGCTCCGTGGGGGACCCATGGGTGCAGGGGGACAGCCTGCTCCACCAGGGGCCTCTCCCTGCACAGGCCGCAGGGGAACTTGTGCTCTGGTTCATGGAGCACCTCCTGCCCTCCTGCTGCACTGACCTTCTCACAGAGGCCACCCCTGCAGCCCCCCGCTATCAAGCCCTTGCCAATACAGATTCACTGAACAGCAAACTGAAAAAAAAAACACAAATGCACACAGCTTTTAACAAACCATCAGATATGATGAATAGCGAAAGAGAGAACACGGCACAGGATCACGCAGCATCACACTGAAATTTATTAAGAGCAAACCAGACAACATTGTGGGCAGCAAATCAACAGATATGTTCAACAAATATTGTAATACACAATAAATGTTTGTTCGTTGTCTTTTGTATTATAAAAACAAGGAGATCTTTTTGAGGAGCGGGAGTTGCAAAAGCTTCCTGCTGAAGTAAGGAGCTGTGTAATACTTGGCTAGACACTATGAAAATTCTTTTGCTTAATGTAACAAAGAAGAGAACCCCCTCCCCTTCTCTCCTTCTGCATCTCAGTTGCCTCTTTTGTTCAAAGACCCTGCTGCAAAGCTCATGTAACCATCTCCTGATAAGTTGCTAACCGAGTGTATCAACATCTTGCCTTCCTGTCTCACGCTGGGCCAACAGGACCAAAGAAAAAAAAAAAAGAAGTTGAACCACAACGCCGAGGAAGACTACGGCCTTCATCTTGTTATAAATGGCTCAGGATTCAAATTAGGATTAAATAAAAAAATAGGATTTATTAAAAGAATATAAAGGAATAGAGGTAAGCAAACAGCGCTGGGTGCACCGGGAGTCTCCGCTCCACCAGGATGCACACCAGTTACATCAAGCAGCTGATTTTTATGCTCCTAGACTAATACATATTCATTACTACTTCTAAAAAAAATAGATTATTATAATTAGCTTCCGGGGTCCAGTTCCTCCTACTGGAGCATGCGCATCAGTCTCCTCTGGGGGTCTCTAGGGGTCTTTCATGCTGAAGGCTCGTAGTCTTCCTCTCCCCTTTGTACTCACTCGGCACAATTCCAAGTTTATGGAACGCTCTCTACAGGTCTTGTCTCCCAACCGTCCTTCAGCTTCTTTTTCCTTCCTCTTAATCTCTTGGCCCCCCTGGCCAGATACCAAGGATCCTCATAGTATCCCATAACAGTCGCTAGTTGTTAACAGTTGTTCTGAAACTCCCAGACATCAAACACAAACAACTTTCTTATTTGATGCTTCACGAGTAATTAAAACATTCTTCCCAGCTATTCACAGTCATCTATATAACATCTATATCAGTGTTAAATCAATCTCGAAGAAGACAGAAAAAAAGGCTGTAACTGTTAGAACTAGAAGTCAGGAATAACAAAAGCAAACAGGTTCATAAATTTAAGGAGTATTTTCTGAAGACTTGATAAATTGACCAGAATGAGGGGGAGACTGGGACACACTGCATCTGTGGTTCAAGAATTAAATTGCCAGTGCAGGGCCCAGAGGCAGACAGGATTCAAACAGAATTGTTCTTTATGGACACGAATTGTTAAAACATTCCTCACAAAAGCGTAATCCCACAGTGTCCATTAAATGTGTTCTCACGTTTCTGCCCCATTTTCCTTGCGGAGGTGCAGCAGCAGCATAGCTGGGTTAGAGGCATCCCACGGCTGCCAGGGCTGCGGCTGCCAAGAGGAGACTCCAGAGGTGTGGGGGTTCCCTGGGACTGCTCATGCCTGGGGGGGGGAACAGGGAGTTAATGACTGCCGGAGGGTGCCAGCACGGTGCTGGCCGTGGGAAGGGGCTGGGGGCTCACCTCTTACCTGCGCTGAAGACACACGGCTGGGCCTTGCACCTTTTCTCTGCCAAAGAGACCAACAACATCTGTGCACCGCCCCGCTCTGTGCCCCTCACCCCGCCCTGGCCGTGCCACAGAGGGCCCCCACCTCAAACCCCAAGGGAGAGCAGCTGGGAGCGTGCAGGGATGTGCAGGGAAGACCTGGTCTGAAGGTGAGCTCCCCACCTCCCCGAGTTCCCCAAGCTCCCCGAGCTCCCCAGGCTCCCCAAGCTCTTCAAGTTCCCCAAGCTCCCCAGGCTCCCCGAGCTCCCCACACGGAGGTGTTGCCTTCACCACGAGGCTCCCCTTCCCCTCACAGAGCCGGTGGCACGGGGCCCCCGTTCCTCTGCAGCCATGGCTGGAGGAGCGCGGGGAGCACGGCGGCACCTGCCCAGGGCTGTGCCCTGTCCCCAACCATCTCCCGGTGGCATCCACCCTGCTGGCTGCCCTTACCATTCAGCAGCGCACATTTGTAGTTGCTGTGCGTGGAATGGGAGTCGAGATGGATGTGGGTTCCTTCTGTGTGATGGATGACATTGGTGACCTTGAAGACCTCATAGGGTGGGATGAGGACTTCCTCCTGTTCTGGGAAGAAGGAGAAGCTCCTGATGGAGACACCGTAGCAGGTGTTCACAAAGAACAAGGTGTGCTGGCCAAAGGACTCAGCAACCTCCTTCTGGAGGGAGGTGGAGGTGAACTGGCCGAAGCGGACGTGCTCGTTGAGCTGGGCCGTAAAGCGGTCTGTGGTGCCGCGGTAGACGCTGTTGCATTTGGGGCTCTGGGTCTTCCGCAAGGTGTGCAGGGCCTCGGTCAGGAGGAAATGCAGCGTCTTGAAGGGGAAGGATTCCAGGTAGTCCTCATGGGAGAGCCCACCCTCAAGCATAGCTTTGTTGAGCTGCTTGGACAGGTCTCCCTTGTCAGTGTACGCCAGCACGGCCACCGCCTGCTGCTGCGGCAGCACCTGCGGGCGGTTGGAGTTGCCCCACTGCTTCTGCCAGTACTTGGCTGCTCTTCTCCAGGTGTCTGCATACGCCTTGTTTTGGAACTCAGTGCGGTTCACTGTTTTCAGCTTCTCCTCCATCTCAGTTCTGCAGTCCTTGTACTGGTCATCAAAGGAGTCCTGGGCCATGTCCATCACCTTCTCTGTGATAGCACGGACATCTCGCCTGCTGCCAGTGGCTGCGGTGCCAAACAGGGTGCTGGCCAGCAGCACCCAGCCCAGGGCGAGCTGCTCCATGCGCAGAAGGACTCCGGTGCCCGGCTGCAGACCCCCAGGGCCCCCCCAGCCCGGTCCCAGCAGCCCTGGAGCTGCAGTGAGTTGTTACCTCTGCTCCGCTGGGTGCGCAGGACACTGGAGCTGTGGTGTTTTTCAACCCCTGCCCGCGTCCCATGGGTTACTTATATGCAGCCCTTTCATGGGGCGCTGGGGCCACCTGTGGGCACCGTGTCAGTGGTTCTGGCACCACTTCAAACAGTGCCTCTGCTGGGGTGGGGACGCTCCCTGGTCCCTTTCATTCTCGCTTACAGAAAAGTGAGAGGGGTAGGGGGAAGGAGGGCAGGCATGGAGGTGATATTGTATAGACTCACTTTAGAATAGAATAAATCTTGTGGTTAAAAATTAATGAGAACAAAGTAAATGAAATCTTGTTATTTTTTGACCTTCTGTTATGTTGAAGCATCTTGTTATTTGAAAAACATCCCGTTGTCTGTTAACCCTCAGTCAGGCTGAGACTTGAGATAACTTGAGTCAACCGTCTGTTAGATCTTTTTAACTGAGACATCCCGTTATCTGCCGACCCCCAGTTAGGCCGAAAGCCAACTCAGCATTTTTTACAGCTTGGAAAACAACTGATTAAGCAAAAGGTGAAAAGTGCATCACGAGGAAGACCTACGGCCTTCCTCCCAAAGACCACTGCCCACATTTTGAAGACCCTGGCCCACAATTCTTGGAAGGCTTTGCACAAGCACAAGGACTGATAAGCTAATTAGCATACGAAGCGAGAGTAGGCGGGGTTAGGGAATGTATTTGCATAGGTGTTAATAGAATATTCATTGTTTCGCTGTATATATGAGATAGTTTGTCACTTTGAACATGCACGATAGGTGGAAAGATCCCCCGTGCATCCAGCGGTGCAATAAAGAATAGACCACTTAAGGAAATTTCGGCTTTGATCTTTAAATCAGAGGGAAAAGGGCAGGCCCAGGCAAAAAAAAAAAACAAACAGGGGAGAGAAAAAAAGGGGTGTGAGAAAAAAAGTTGTGTTCTTGCAGTAAAACATGCTACAAATTAAAATGTTTTTTTTTATTTGCAGTAGAAAACTAACCTGGTCCTAAACATCCCCTTCATCGAGAATCTGCACCCGGATGGGGCCATGCATGAGGGGATGGTGCTGTGAGTACAGGGGGGTCCGGGGCTGCAAGGGCACCTGTGGGCAGCAGCAGCGGGACTCGTGGCAAGGGGCAGCTCCAGCCCAGGGTGCCCCTGGCCCTGCTGGGTGTCTGGGGGCTGGGGGTACCCAGGGTTGGGTGCTGTGAGAAATAAAGCTGTGTTTCTGCAGTGTAAAAATCCTCTAACCTTGTATATTCAAAAGTGATTGTGCGGGCAGGACAGTAGCATAGCAGCGGGGATTATAGTAAGTAGATAAGGGGAAGGTCCCTCTGCCCCAAAATAAGGAGGATCCCTACGAAAAACAGGACGAGCAGTGCGAAATCAGTAAAAAGAAAAATCACGGGCCCTCTAGTCATGAGAGAAGGAAAAAAAAAAAAAAAGGAAAAGGAGAAATTAACAGTTGGTCAAATAAAATTGTACATGTATGGCATAGAAGAGAGTCGAGTAGGGTGTTCCCCATGAGGAAATGGGAGAAATCAGGTGTCAGGTCTTAGGGAATGTGAGGTTAGGATAAACTTACTGGGCACTCCTGCTTGCAGGATGCCCGCCATTGCAACCGCAAATAAAATTGCTACTTCACTGAGATCCTTGCCTGAGCCTGGGTTCTTTCTGCAGAGTTGTTCTCACATGTCCTTAGCAGTGCTGGTATGATCCTGAGCCCAGTTAAAGCAGTGGCCCAAGCAGCCAGATGCCAGCACATTTTTCCAGATCTCGGAATAGCCGATGAGGGTGGCTCCCTCAGGGAATTTGCATGTGAGAGTCGACACGAGGCACAGCTTCTGCTCTTCACAGAATCACAGAATTTCTAGGTTGGAAGAGACCTCAAGATCATCGAGTCCAACCTCTGAACTAGCACTAACCAGTCCTCCACTAAACCATATCACTAAGCTCTACATCTAAACGTCTTGTAAAGACCTCCAGGGATGGTAACTCCACCAGTTCCCTGGGCAGCCCATCCCAATGCCTCACAACCCTTTTAGTAAAGAAGTTCTTCCTAACATCCAACCCAAACCTCCCCTGGTACAACGTTAGCCCATTCCCCCTCGTCCTGTCACCAGGCATGTGGGAGAACAGACCAACCCCCACCTCACTACAGCTTCCTTTAAGGTATCTGTAGAGAGCAATAAGGTCACCCCTGAGCCTCCTCTTCTCCAGGCTGAACAAGCCCAGCTCCCTCAGCCGCTCCTCGTAGGACTTGTTCTCCAGGCCCCTCACCAGCTTCGTCGCCCTTCTCTGGACTCGATCAAGCACCTCGATGTCCTTCTTGTAGCGAGGGGCCCAAAACTGAACACAGTACTCGAGGTGCGGCCTCACCAGAGCCGAGTACAGGGGGACGATCACCTCCCTAGCCCTGCTGGTCACACTGCTTCTGATACAAGCCAGGATGCCGTTGGCCTTCTTGGCCACCTGAGCACACTGCTGGCTCATCTTCAGCCGACTGTCCACCATCACTCCCAGGTCCTTCTCTGCCTGGCAGCTCTCCAACCACTCATCTCCCAGCCTGTAGCTCTGCTTGGGGTTATTGCGCCCCAGGTGCAGGACCCGGCACTTGGCCTTGTTGAACTTCATGCAGTTGACCTCAGCCCATCGGTGCAGCCTATCCAGATCCTCCTGCAGAGCTTTCCTACCCTCGAGCAGATCGATACACACACCTAACTTGATGTCATCTGCAAACTTACTGAGGGTGCACTCAATGCCCTTGTCCAGATCATTGATGAAGATGTTAAAGAGGACCGGCCCCAGCACCAAGCCCTGGGGGACGCCACTAGTGACCGGCCTCCAACTGGACTTGACTCCATTCACCACAACTCTTTGGGCCCGGCTATCCAGCCAATTTTTAACCCAACGAAGTGTACACCAGTCAAAGCCCTGAGCAGCCAGTTTCTTGAGGAGAATGCTGTGGGAAACCATGTTAAAAGCCTTGCTGAAGTCAAGGTAGACCACATCCACAGCCTTCCCCTCATCCACCAAGCGTGTAACTTTGTCATAGAAGGAGATCAGGTTCGTCAAGCAGGACCTGCCTTCCATAAACCCATGCTGACTGGGTCTGATCGCCTGCTTGCCCTGCAAGTGCCGCGTGATGACTCCCAAGAGGATCTGCTCCATGAGCTTCCCTGGCACTGAGGTCAAACTGACAGGCCTGTAGTTCCCTGGGTCTGCCCTCCGGCCCTTCTTGTAGATGGGCGTCACGTTTGCTAGCCGCCAGTCAACTGGGACCTCCCCTGATAGCCAGGACTGCTGATAAATGATGGAAAGTGGCTTGGCCAGCTCCTCTGCCAGTTCTCTCAAAGAAGAGGATCTTTCGCATGTTGGTGCGGAACTGCCTGGGCTCCATTTTGTGGCCACTGCCCCTTGTCCTGTCCCCACAGACCATTTAAAAAGGTTGGCCAAATCCCTCTGTCTCCCACCCCTCAGGTATTTGTACACACTGAGGAGGTCCCCTCTCAGTCCTCTCTTCTCCAGGCTGCACAGCCCCAGGTCTCTCAGCCTCTCCTCATAGGGAAGATGCTCCAGGCCCCATATCATCTTTGTGGCCCTCCGCTGGATTCTTTCCAGGAGATCCCTGTCTTTCTTGTACCGGGGAGCCCAGAACTGGACCCAGTGCTCCAGGTGAGGCCTGACCAGGGCAGAGCAGAGGGGGAGGATCACCTCCCTCGACCTGCTGGCCACGCTCCTTTTAATGCCCGCCAGGATCCCCTTGGCCCTCTTGGCCACCAGGGCACACTGCTGCCTCATGGACAACCTGTCACCCACCAGGACCCCCAGGTTCTTCTCCTCAGAGCTCGTCTCCAGCAGGTCATCCCCCAGCCTGTACTGATACCTGCGGAGATGTGAGTTGCTAGGACAAACAATCACAAAGGGGGTTTGTCGGATAAAACTGCTGCTGCAGTTTCCAGCGGCAGTCCCCCAGACACAGAAATGAAATTTATGAATGTCAATGCTTTCATTTATGAAAATAAATAACATAATTTTCATTTATAAAAGTAAATGTTAATGTTTTCCTTTATAAAAATATTCACAAAAACTGGCCCCAAAACAGAACCCTGGGGAACCCCACGAGTAACTGGCCGTCAGCCTGATGTAACCCCATTTACTAGCACCCTTGGAGCCTGACCCACCAGCCAGTTGTTCATCCAGCACATTAGGAACCTGTCTAGATGTGTGCTGCACATTTAGTCCTGAGGGATACTTTGAGAAACCGTATCAAACGCTTTGCCGAAATACAAAACGATTTCATCAGCTGCCATCCCTTGGTCAACTATGTGGGTAACTTTGTCATGAAAGGAAATTAAGTTCGTTAAGCAGGGCCTTCCCCTCATGAACCCTCTGCTTGCTGTGACCAGGGACTGCCTTGTCCCTCAGGTGCTTTTCAATAACTCCTGGGATAATTTTCTCCATGATTTTACCAGGCACGGAAATGAGACTGACAGGTCTGTAGTTACCAGGGTCTTCTTTCTCGCTCTTGCTGAAAACTGGAACCACATTTGCCATCTCCCAATAGACCCGGATCTCTCTGGATTCCCAAGACCATTGGAAAGTAATTGAGAGAGGTTTTTCCTCCCAGACAACAGATATGTGTATTGGGGCCCTGCTTCCCAAGATGTGCCTGACCTTGCTTGCTGATGGGCAGTGGAGAGTAACTGCTTTCTCTTTGCTTCCATGTGGATTGGCTTTTATTTTGTTCTTTCTTTTTCTTTTGCATTTCAATTTTCCTTCTCTCAACCCCTTAGCCTTTTTCTTTGTGTCATCCTTTCTGCCTCCCCTCTGTCTCTGAGGAGCAATGAGAGAGCAGTTGTGGTTTTAGTTAGACATCGATGTGAAACCACGGCAGCCTTTTGGCATCCATTGAGAGGCTCAGGGGGTGGAGATAACAAGAAATTGGACCAGAGTGCTTCAGAGGAGCTTACAATGATCATATTTGTTGAACATATCTGTTGATTTGCTGCCCACAATCTTGTCTGGTTTGCTCTTAATATCTTTCAGCGTGATCCTTCGTGATCCTGTGCCGTGTTCTCTCTTTTGCTATTTATCATATCCGAGGGCTTGTTAAAAGCTGTGTGCATTTGTGTTTTTGTTTTTTTTTCAGTTTGCTGTTCAGTGAATCTGTATTGGCAAGGTCTTGGTAGTGTGGTGATGCTGAGGTGGCCTCTGCGAGAAGGTCAGTGCAGCAGGAGGTGCTCCATGAACCAGAGCACAAGTTCCCCTGCGGCCTGTGCAGGGAGAGGCCCCTGGTGGAGCAGGCTGTCCCCCTGCACCCATGGGTCCCACACGGAGCAGATCTCCACGCTGCAGCCCCCCCATGGGTGGAGGAGCCCCCGCTGGAGCAGGTGGATGTGGCCTGGAGGAGGCTGCGGCCCATGGAGAGCCCCCGCAGGAGCAGGCCCCGGGCCGGAGCTGCAGCCATGGAGAGGAGCCCACATGGAGCAGGGGGCTGGGGGGAGCTGCCAGCACCCGTGGGGGCCCCGTGCTGGAGCAGTTTGGGACTGGGGGATGAACCCTGTGGGACGGAGCCGTGTGGGAGCAGTTCTTGGAGCCCCTGAAGGATCAGTTGGGGAAGGACGGCATCCATGGGAGGGACCCCACGGGGAGCAGGGGCACAGACGGACCGTGAGGGGCGGCGGGGATGAAGCGTCAGGGACTGACCGCAGCCCCCATTGCCCGTTCCCCTGCACTGCTTCTGGGGGGGAGAAGGTGGAAGAGGTGGATGAGGGGAAGGTGTTGGAGTTTGTTTTTTTTTTTTGTTTTCTAACTGCTCTAGCTTGTTAGTAATAGGCAATAAATGATACTCATCTTCCTACTCTGAGTCTGTTTTGCTTGTTACGATAATGGTTGAGCGATCTCCCTGCCCTTCTCTCAACCTCTCCTCCCTGTGGGGCTGCCACTGCCCCCGGCCCCTCCGGGCACTGTCGCCACCAGTCCCGCAGCCGGCCCTAGGCCCGGCGCCGGCGGCAGCGCCGTGTTGTGGGCTGATCCCCGCAGGGCTGTTCTCTCGGGCACGCTGCGCTTGGCTCTGCCGTTCCCTCAAGCCTTCGGGCCTCGCACTGGGCACCAGAAGGCCTGCTGTGCTTGAAGCTACAGGCAGCTCAGCACCGCACAGCCGCTCGCTCCCCTCCTCCCCAGCAGGGCTGGGGAGAGAAGGGACACTTGGATCTGGCTGCAGGAGCTGGCACTGAGCTCACTCGCACACACAGAGGCCTCGCCAGGAGCTGGCACGTAGGCCTCTCAGCACGCGGACACATGGGAAAGGCTGCGAGTGTGCAAAGAGAAAAGCTTTAATGAGAGAAATGCGACGATAGGACACACAAACACTGACCGGCCCTGCTTTTTTATACCCCAAACCTAACCCCTCAGCAGGCCCTCCTGCTCCTCCTTCTCTACACACCCCCATGGCTCCGCACAGCAGCTCCACGTTATTTCAAGCTCCCCAGGCTCCCCAAGCTCTTCAAGTTCCCCAAGCTCCCCAGGCTCCACGAGCTCCCCACACGGAGGTGTTGCCTTCACCACGAGGCTCCCCTTCCCCTCACAGAGCCGGTGGCACGGGGCCCCCGTTCCTCTGCAGCCATGGCTGGAGGAGCGCGGGGAGCACGGCGGCGCCTGCCCAGGGCTGTGCCCTGTCCCCAGCCATCTCCCGGGGGCACCCACCCTGCTGGCTGCCCTTACCCTTCACCAGTGCACAGTTGTAGTTGCTGCACGCACCAATGGAACAGAGATGGATGTGGGTTCCTTTTGGGTAACGGGTGACGTTGATGACCTTGAAGATCTCATAGGGTGGGATGAGGACTTCGCGCTGATAAGCGTAAAAGGACAAGTTGCCGATGATGGCACCATAGCAGGTGTACACAAAGAAGAAGGTGTCATTGCCAAAACCCTTGGCAATACTCTCATTCAAGGAGGCAGAGGCGAACTGGCCGAAGCGGACAGCCTGGTTGATCTGGGCCGTAAAGCGGGTGCCATTGACACCACGGTAGACGTTGTAGCATCTGCGGCCCTGGGCATCCCTCAGGGTGTGCAGGGCCTCGGTCAGGAGGAAATGCAGCGTCTTGAAGGGGAAGGATTGGAGGTAGTAATCGTGGGAGCGACCACCCTCACGCACAGCTGCGTTGAACTGGCGGTACAGGCCTGTGCCAGCAGTGTATGCCAGCACGGCCACCGCATACTCCCGCTGCAGCCCCTGCAGGTGCTTGGAGTTGCCCCATTGCTTCTGCCACCTCCTGTCTGCTTTTCTCCAGGTGTTTGCATAGAGCGGGTTTTTGAATTCAGTGCGGTTCACCATTTTCAGCGCCTCCTCCATCCTGTATCTGCAGTCCTGGTACCGGTCATCGAAGGAGTTCTGGGCCATGTCCATTGCTACCTCTGTGATGGGGCTGAGGTCTTGCTCACGGGTGCTGCTGGCGGCCAAGGTGCCAGCCAAGGTGCCGGCCAGCAGCACCCAGCCCAGGCCGAGGTGCTCCATGTGCAGGAAGCTCCGGGGGTCCAGCCACGAGCGGGGATGGACCCGGTCCTCTGCAACCGGCTGAGCTCAGCCGCTGAGTGCAGCAGTACAGGGCACGGGCGTCTGCTAGGGGGAGAGCGCAGGGTCGGAGAAGGCTGCAGGGAGAAGCGGAGCAGATGCATCAGGGGCACCTCCAAAGCCGCCCATGGCCCCCCTGGCACCAGAGGGAAGCACCCGCAGTGTGTGTCCCCAGCCACGGCCACCTGGGTCTTCCCCACCCCGATACCGGCCTGGACTCCAGCCCAACTACTTGCATCAAACACCGCAGACACCTGGGTTCCCCCGTGCAGCCCCGACATCCTCTGAGGCCGCAGCATTTGTGCCAGGAGGAGCCCTGGTGCTGCAGTGAGATGTTACCTCTGCTCTGTTGCATGCAGGACCCACGGCTCGGCGCTGCTGCAGGGTGCGTGGAGCTGGCTGCTCTGCCTTTTTATAGCAACCCCCAGACAGTTTGTGTTCCAGCCCCCCATGACCACCCAGTTGCTGCTGGGCTGCTGCAAAAGGCTGCAGGGAAACCAACAGGAAATCACCTTGTATCAGTTTCCCACGCTCTAGTGCATGTGTGCGTGGGTCCCAGCCCCTTGGGTGCTGAGAGGTGAGGCGCAGGCTCTGCAGCCCTCAGTGCAGAGGGGCTCCTGCAGGAGCGGACACTGGCTTGTCCTGGTTTTGTCTGGGATCGAGTTGCTTTTCATCACCGTAGCTGGTGTGGGGCTTTGGTTTTAGGATGAGAATGGTGCTGATAACACACTGCTGGCTTAGATGCTGCTGAGCAGTGCTGACACTAAGCCAAGGACTTCTGTGCTTCTCACACTGTGGCGGGGTTGGCTGAGGGGCTGCCATTCTTGGGAAGCAGGGCCCCAATACACCTATCTGTTGTCTGGGAGGAAAAACCTCTCTCAATTACTTTCCAATGGTCTTGGGAATCCAGAGAGATCCCGGTCTATTGGGAGATGGCAAATGTGGTTCCAGTTTTCAGCAAGAGCAAGAAAGAAGACCCTGGTAACGACAGACCTGTCAGTCTCATTTCAGTGCCTGGTAAAATCATGGAGAAAATTATCCCAGGAGTTACTGAAAAGCACCTGAGGGACAAGGCAGTCGCTGGTCACAGCAAGCAGAGGGTTCGGAGGTACATCAGGCTGACGGCCAGTTATTAGTGGGGTTCCCCAGGGCTCTGTTTTGGGGCCAGTTCTCGTCACTGTTTTCATAAATGACCTGGATGTATCACATGAAGGCTTTCTAAGTAAGTTTGTGGATGACACTAAATTGGGAGGAGCTGCCATTGCTCAGGGACAGGCTGGGCATGGGTCAGAGGGTGGTGAGCAATCGTTTTGTGCACCACTTTCTTTAGTTTTCTTTCTTGCTCATTTTCTGTCTTTCTTTCTCATTAAACTGTCTTTCTCTCAGCCTGCCAGTCTGTGCACTTTTACTCGTCAGCTCTCTCCCCTTCCCCCGGTGGGGAGGTGACTGAGGAGGTGGCTGTGAGGTGCTGAGCTCTCTGCTGCATTCCACCACAGCACTGCTTTTAGCACCTAGTGTGAGGCCGGAAGGTACCTGAGATACTGTGAGAGATCAGCAGACCTGAGCAGACAATGCTCGATGGGACAAACTGGTTTAGAATTTGTGCTCATGGTGCGTTTGTTTAGCAGCCCCCGGTTGCAGTGCTGATTTATTTGCTCTCCAGGTTGCCTTGTGTAAGCCCTCTCCTGCTGCGTATGCTCCCCGTGCTGCCATCAGCACCTCCAAGGGCTGCTTGAAGGCTGCTGGGGGCAGCTGGCTGTGCCTTCCCCAGCCTGGTGTGCGTGGGGTGTGCGGCTGCATTCACCAGCAAACTTTGGGCTGCACCAACCAGCCAGTACATGGGCCAAGTGCATGGGCCAAGCCCCAGCATGTTGCAGTGATTTGTGTCTCTTTGGAATTGCCAGGGTGATGACACACCTTTTTGAAGCATTCTGCCTGGTTTTTAGGATTCTGCAGTTTTTCAGGGGTGAATATCCAAAGCACTGGAGGTGCCCACTGCTCTAGATGCCTGGTAAAGGACAAGGACCGCTCTCTCACTCCCCCTCCTTAGACCAGGAGGGGAAGAAGTAAAGCAAAGAACAACTCACGGGTTGAGATAAGGATAATTTAATTAAAGGGAAATAATAATAATAATAATTAAAGATTATTAAGAACTAAACAATTTAACTGAAGGGGGAAAAAAAAGGAAAGGAGAAAATCATAGAATCATAGAATAGCCTGAGTTGGAAGGGACCCTTAAGGATCATCAAGTCCAACTCTTGACACCGCACAGGTCTACCCAAAAGTTCAGACCATGTGACTAAGCGCACAGTCCAATCTCTTCTTAAATTCAGACAGGCTCGGTGCAGTGACCACTTCCCTGGGGAGCCTGTTCCAGTGTGCAACCACCCTCTCTGTGAAGAACCCCCTCCTAATGTCAAGCCTAAACTTCCCCTGCCTCAGCTTAACCCCGTTCCCGCGGGTCGTGTCGCTGGAGTTAATGGAGAAAAGGTCTCCTGCCTCTCGACACCCCCTTACGAGGAAGTTGTAGACTGCGATGAGGTCGCCCCTCAGCCTCCTCTTCTCCAGGCTGAACAGGCCCAGTGCCCTCAGCCGTTCCTCGTACGTCTTCCCCTCCAGGCCTTTCACCATCTTCGTAGCCCTCCTCTGGACACTCTCCAACAGTTTCATGTCCTTTTTATACTGTGGTGCCCAGAACTGCACACAGTACTCGAGGTGAGGCCGCACCAGCGCAGAGTAGAGCGGGACAATCACCTCCCTCGACCTACTAGCGATGCCGTGCTTGATGCACCCCAGGATACGGTTGGCCCTCCTGGCTGCCAGGGCACACTGCTGTCTCATATTTAACTTGTTGTCTACCATGACCCCCAGATCCCTCTCCTCCAGGCTGCTCTCCAGCGTCTCATCGCCCAGTCTGTACGTGCAGCCAGGGTTTCCCCGTCCCAGGTGCAGGACCCAGCACTTGTTCTTATTGAAAAGGTAGGGGTATAGGAAAAAAAAAGGAGGAAAACAAAGAAATAAAACAAATGAAGGCTATGTGGAAGTGCAGAGGAAAGAAATTACTCTCTTCCCACAAATGAGCGATGATTAATGATGTCCTTGAAGCAGGGCCTCAACGCACGGAGACGGTGTTCGGGAGGAGGACCGACGTTTTCCCAGCGAGAGCCCACCCCTCCCCTCTTCTTCCTGTTCCCACCTTTTATTGCTGTGTGACACCACATGGTGTGGAATATCCCTTTGGTTGGTTTAGGTCAGCTGCCCTGGGGATGTTTCTCTTCTCACTTTTTGCCCACCCCTAGGAGGGTTAGAGAGAGACCCGATGCTGTGTCAGCACTGCTCAGCAGCAGACACAACCCTGCTGTGATCCCACTGCTGTTCCAGCTCCAAGTGCAGAGCACAGCACTGCTTGGGCTGCTGCAGGGAAAGTTAACGTCCCAGCCAGACGCAGTACATCCTCCCCCCCTTATTCCATAACATTTGTGTCACACTCAGATCCCCCATACTTTAGCATACAAGTATTCTCATCATTATTCCTTGTCCTTCAATAGGACAAGGATTTAACAGGGCAGGATTAATAGGCAGGTGTATGTTTTCATTCCATAGGTCTTTCTTGGAAAATGTTCATAAGAACTGTTGATGATTAGGTCTTCCTCTGCCAAAGTGGCCACTCAGGGCAGGTGGAGTTGGATGTCTGGACGCCAGCACCAGCTTCGCTCAAGTCCCTGTTGCACTAACCGGCTCCTTGCAAAGTTGACCTGTCGTTGATCCTACAGCGTCTTCCTACAACATCTAACTTAGATTACAGATTAGTTTTCTCTCAAGGTCAAATCTCCTTGAGGCACACACTTGATGTCCCTGTTCTTTTGCATGACCCACCAGGTATACTCCGGTCCTTGGGCGAAGACAATCCCATGAGTGGGTTTGCCTTTTCCGGAGGCAGGAGCAACCCACACTTCCTACCTGCACTACGGGGACTTCAGCTCCTTTCACTGTGTGTAGGGGTTTTGTTTCGGCAGGACCAGCACGGCTTTCAGACCCCCTATTGTTAACTAGCCAAGTGGCTTTTGGTAGATTTGTGTCCCCTTGTTTCCAAGTCCCAGCCCCCAATGCTCGTAACATAGTCTTTAACAGTCCATGGTACCTCTCAACCTTCCCAGAAGCTTGTGGGTGATAAGGGATGTGGTACACCCACTCAACACCATGCCTCTTGGCCCAGGAGGTAACAAGATTGTTTCGGAAGTGACTCCCATTGTCAGACTCAGTTCTCTCTGGTGTACCATGATGCCACAATACTTGTCTTTCCAGGCCCAAGACAGTGTTTCGGGCCGTGGCAAAGTTTATGGGATATGTTTCCAGTAGTTGCTTCTACCATGGTGAGTATGTACCGTTTGCCTTGGCGAGTTTTTGGAAGTGGTCCGATATAGTCAATTTGCCAGGCCTCACCATATCGAAACCCTGTCCACCTCCCCCTGTTCCAGGGAGATTTTACCTTCGTGGCTTTCTTGATTGCAGCACAGGTCTCACACTCATGGGTAACCTGTGTGATGGCCTCAATGGTCAAGTCCACCCGTCGATCACAAGCCCACCTGTAAGTGGCATCCCTCCCCAGATGTCCTGATGTTTCATGGGCCCATCGAGCTACAAACAGCTCACCCTTATGTCCCCAGTCTAGGTCCACCTGAGCCACTTCAATTTTTGAAGCTTGATCCACTTCTTCGTTGTTCCGATGTTCTTCAGTAGCGCGACTCTTGGGCATGTGGGCATCTACATGACGTACTTTAACATCCAGGTTTTCTACCTGGGCAGCAATATCTTGCCACAGGGTAGCAGCCCAGATAGGTTTACCTCTGCGCTGCCAGTTGCTCGGTTTCCATTGCTGCAGCCACCCCCCCAGAGCATTTGCCACCATCCATGAGTCAGTGTAAAGATACAATACTGGCCATTTTTCTCTTTTGGCGATCTCTAGGGCTAGTTGTATGGCTTTTACTTCTGCATACTGACTCAACTCACCTTCCCCTTCCATGGCCTCCACAACTCGTCATGTGGGACTCCACACAGCAGCTTTCCATTTCCGATGGCTCCCTACCTCACGGCAGGATCCGTCAGTGAACAACACATACTGCTTTCTGTCTTCTGGCAACTCATTGTATGGTGGTGCCTCTTCAGCACGGGTTACCTCTTCTGTTGGCACTCCGAAATCTCTGCCTTCTGGCCAGTCCATAATCTCTTCCAGGATTCCTGGGCAATTAGATTTTCCCATTCGAGCCCACTGTGTAATTAACGCTATCTACTTACTCCATGTAGCATCAGTTGCATGGTGTGTAGTGGGAATTTTCTCTTTGAACATCCAATGTAACACAGGTAACCGCGGTGCCAAGAGGAGCTGTGCCTCTGTACCCACAACTTCTGAAGCAGCTCGAACACCCTCATATGCTGTGAGTATTTCTTTTTCAGCTGGGGTGTAATTGGCTTCTGATCCTTGGTAGCCCCGGCTCCAGAAACCCAGAGGTTGACCTCGAATTTCTTCTGGGG